CGAACAACGCCGCGCTCCACCTCTACCGCGACACACTAGGTTTCGAGGTCGAGAAGATCGAGGCAAAATACTACGCTGACGGCGAAGATGCGTATGCCATGAGGATGAATCTGCGCTCGCTATGGATCAGAGAGGAACGTGGCGGCGGTACTAACGAGGGTCAAAAACAAAGCGCCATGGCTGGGTTTGCTGCCGTGGATAGTAATCATGGCGATGAACATGCTGACGAAGGCGAGGCGGTTGGCGAGATGGGGAAGCAGCCTGGAGAGAAGGAAGAGAAGGAGAAAGAGAAGGTTTTCCGGGTTAAGGTTGGGAGGTCGCTCGGGGTGGGTGATCTTGTGGAGCGGAATGAGAGTGTGCGATGAGGGGTTGGATTTCGCGGATGGACGACCTACTATTATTTAATTGATGAGGCAGCGCTGGGTGGGTTGCGCTGGTCATCTCATGGGATTGCATACTAGGACTGGCATTGATTATCTACAGAGCACAAGGAGGAAAGGGCGAAATTTTTGTTCGGTATCTCTCTCTCTCTCTCTCTCTCTCTCCCTCTATATATATAGATATATATATACGGAGGTTATTTGAACATAATCTGCAGTTGAGTCCGAAAAAACTGCTCCTTGCGCTTGGATAATCACACAAGTATTTCGCTTTACGCATCTGGCCATGCCTACAATAGTTCATAATCTCTTGATGAGATCTAGCCTAGGCAATTGTGAGTTTCATTCATTAGGAGGATATGAAATTATCATGTGGCAATTTGTAAAGAAGAAAATGAAACTGAATAGAAGGAAGGCTCCGTCTCCGTTTTGGCCAATCAAAACAATCCAATCCCTCTCATTCCCATCGAATACACACTCGATTGACGTTTCCCGTACATCTCGTAAGATGCGCACAAAAAGACCAAACGGAAGTAATAGAAGAGAGGGTTTGGCGTATTTAAAACAAATTTCCCGTTGGAGAGAGGGGAGAACCTCCGGGAGTTAACGATCAGTTCAATAGCAACCAGAAAATTTGGATTGCAAAAAAAAAAAATAAATAAATAAATAAATAAATAAATAAAATAAAAACAAAAATAATATCAAAAGAATGTAGACTACAGTGGATAACAAGCAGGTCATGAACAGGTAAAAAGGAAGGCTGAAAAGCCGTTCCACCTCACTATTAGTCGGAAGCCACGCCTTTGCGTGCGTTTTTATTCCTCCTCTTCTCCTCCTTTTTCCTCCTCTTCTCCTCCCTCTTCCTCTGCCTCCTCTCGCGCTTGACCTCCTTTTTTCTCTGCCGCCTATTACGCCGCAACTCTCTCTTCTCATCTTTAATATGCGCCACCAATCTGCGGAATTCTTTCTTCGTACTCTGTATGTCTTGTTTGAGAGCACGTTGCGCCTCCTTGGAATTTATATTCTTAGTGGTATCGTTACCGTCTGTTGGATTGTTGTCGGAGTTGTGTGCAGTAGCGCCGTGTTTTGCTTTTTTAGTGCAGCGGAACTGCTTAAGTGCCGTTCTTAGTGTGTAGAGTTCCTGCTGGAGGTGGTCGATATCCGAGCGCTCCCCACCCATGAGCCCACGGGCTCGACTCCGTTCATGTTCTTGCTGAACGATTTGGATCCTCTCCTTAAGGGCTTCAAGACCTGCGGTGTGCCTCTGAGAGTATGAGGAGAGAGAGGAGAGAAAGGAGGCCTCTGAATCTGACGACGAGGATGACGAAGACGAGGATGAGGATGATGAAGATGAAGATGAAGATGTTGATGAAATGGATGCACTCCGTTGACGATGTTCCGCTCTCCTGTTTCTTCTGTTGCCTTCCCATCCGCTCCATGGGTGAGCGGGAGTGTGAGTAAATGGATTTCCTTGGTTATTGCCACCCCATGGGTTCCCCCAGCCGAAGCGATGCCCATGAGGGTGAATGTGCCCAAATGAACCCTTATAATATGCCCAGTGTGCTCCAGGCCCTCCTCTTCCCCATGGTCCTTTTCCACATCCGCGTCCCCATCCCATACTTGACAAATGCTTCGCTTTCTGCTCAAAATCTTTGCCTCTAGTTTTGGCCTGCTCTTCGATCATCCGGCCGTACTGCTGGCTTCGTTCCTCGACCAGCTTCCCATGTGCAACAGCCTGGTCGCTTATCCATTGGCCATACTGTTCGGCGCGTTCGCCAAGCTGCGTCGCCCAATTCACAATGGCATTGGCCGTGCTCCCTATTCCATATGACGGCGCAAATTTGTGGTCATATTCACAGCCGCCTGCTCTTGCTGAATTGGGATTCTCTATCGGTGGCGGGATTGTGGTTGATCCCTGAGCATTCACAGTGCTGACTTCTGGCGCAAGTGCTGAATTATAGCTTGGGTTATTCCCCACTGGCCTGCGGGGAACTGAGCGCGCTCTAGAACATGAAGGGGTTGTTGCAGAACGGACGGGGTGTGGCCCACTCCGTACAGGTAATGATCTCACGGTGGAAGGATAGCATTTTGGACAGAGATGCGTTGAAGGCTGGGGCCCTGAGGGTGACACATAGGTATAAAGGATTTCGGTTGACCTGGGTAAAAAGAAATAGTTGTTCCACTCAGCAAGGACTGCTTCTATTCTGACTTGGCGCTCGTCGTCGCCTTCCTGGGCACAGTCCTTGCGGTCACGCTGAATTTCAGCACGGAGTTTACGAGGTAGATGAGACTGGCTAGCCGCTGGGGCCAAATGCGGTGGGAATAAGTAATTTAGAAATGTGTCCCAGTCATGCTGCATAATTTCGACACCACGTGGCCGCAGACATTTGGGAAAACGATGATAGTCTTTCGGCTGGCTTCGGGGGTAGATAGTTAAGGTGTGCTGGAGAAGCTCCTGGGGTTCTGCGTGAGAAACCGGTCGCACTCTAAAGTACGGGGCGCCAGAGATGAAGTTGGGAATAGAAGCAAGGTTGTTGTAAGGCGGTATTCGAGCATCATTGTCAACAAGCGGCTGCTCTGCAGCAGCGCCCACAGTGATGGAAGACTCGTTGCTTGAAGCTGGGGTGAGTGGGTCAATGGGGGTGTATGGAGGCGGGGCATCATCCGGGGTGCTGGGAATCAAGGTCATGTTCTATAAAATGCCTTCCTTCAAGCCGCACGCGGACGGAATTTGACGAACTTATCTGTGACTATAGTAGGACAGGAGGTCACTGTGCGGTGAGATGCGATGAGGAAAGGCCAAAGGAACAGGAGAGTCCCAGCGACAGGCGTTTTCACTATATACCTCGAGCCGGCCCTGGTTGCCGCATTAGCGCCGTCCGCCACAGCCTTCGATGAAAACTAGGCAGCGACATTTCTCCCGGATGCAGCGCATCGACCGTCGATCTTGGCCCAATGGTGATGAAGCCTTGGTGCCCAGACGGAGAGAGAAGCCAAGAAGTCAAGCTTTTCCATTTGCTGAATTGTCACTCCGTCCTCAATCTCGATGTGGGCAGCGCGATGGAAGTATGAAAGAGTTGCGTGGAAAATCTTCCAGCGTTGGAACATGGGGTCTTTTGTAGTCGGGCTCCCCTTTGTAGAAAGCTAACGCTCTTCCAAGGGTTGTGGATTACTCCGCCTCATCATTATTGCTGTTGTCTTGCCAGAGGTTATCTTGCTGCCTTCGAGAGTGCCTTCGAGCTTTATCAAATCCACGTTCTGGGCTGCGGAACTCATTGCTGTTCTAGTGACTCCGCCTCGAGGCGCTCAGCAACCGTAAAACATCGAAAATCGAGGAAGTTGTAAGTTGTATGGATGATCTATATATTGAATGCAATCCACAGGGTATGTCAATCTATAGCCCGTCGAGCATTCCGGCTTCTTGCCTCTAAGGGTGTCAAAACTCTCAAGCCAACCCAAATGGAATAATTAATTTATAAATACTAGTACCTTCCTTTCCATATTCACTCCCCTACTAAGTAAATAAGGTATCGAGGGAGGGAGCACAACTGAGGCTATTCGCGATTTATGCTTATTCCAGAACTAGGAGTAAAACCAAAACGCACCAGCTCCATGCCACCAATTTCGATTCAGACTTTAAACCATTACTGCAAAGATATCTTTTTTCTAGAGAGTCATATGCCCATCCTCAGCCCTCCATTAACACATACTAAACTCCTGGCACACCACTGACCATCCTTCGTACACAACATGCCCACGATGCCAGCAATGCCATCCGTAAAAGCCGTCCTTCTCCCACCCATCTTCTCCCAGACGAGCATCTGAATCTCCTTACTCAGCTTCTCCACACCCGTCCCCGTAAATCAATCGTACACCGCAAGCTTGCTGTCGGGCGTATTGTCCTGCCAACTCCACATGGTCATCCAAAAGTCATCTCCTGCCTCCTAGTGCATATCCCGGACGACCGCGCCCAGGCTGATGGCATGGGCAGTGGCACAATCGCCAAGTTCACGTGTCCACGTTCTTCGTCATGGCTTCAATCGCTGCCATGGCTCCTCCGTAGATACTCTGGCCTTCAAAGTCTAAGCTTGCACTAACACTTGAGAGGTTTGTAATCCTTCTCGATCGGTCGCGTGGTAGGTAATGGGGTCACAGCTTGTATAGGAGAATAAGAATCCTGAATCGTATATGTCGAGTATTTATAACTCAGGAAAAGAATGTAGTATAAGCTAAAAATATTAAAAACGACATTTTCGTATGAGATATCTGTTTAATCCGACAGTCGGGGTAAAAAGCATGTCAAATATGTTTGTTCCTCGTGCATATATTTCGCTGTCCATCAAAAGATATGGTGACATGAGGGGGATTTCTCAAGACCAGAGCCCCAATCTAGCGCCTTGGATAAATGGTTCATCAACGGATAATGACTCGTAGATGTGGGTTGACGAGGCGGAAGTATATGTTTAAAGTTTTGGGTTGTAGAATTAAGTTATGGTCAAATCTGGTCTAGTTTCTTTTATATAAGCGTGGAGTTCTCTTGGCACTGACCCTGCGTTGTGGCAAGAGGTTCGCTAGAGTCCTTTGTCAGTTGGGGAGTGGAGTGTTCTCCCTAACAAGCTAGCATCATTGGTCTAGTGGTAGAATTCATCGTTGCCATGGCTTTGAGCTTAAAGTTAGAAGTTCGATGAGGCCCGTGTTCGATTCACGGATGATGCAATTAACTCCTTATCAGGTGCCGTCCACTGTTTTTTTTTTTTTTTTTTTTTTTTTTTTTTTTGGCTTTTTCTATTTTGGCTTCTTTGAAGGTCAGACAGAGCATATAAAACCCAGAGAGTAAAATAGTCAACTGTGGCAGTTTGCCATCGGAAAACTCGATAGTTCAAGGGATGGAACCTTGCATCCATGGTATATCCTGATTGTTCCTTGCTCAAACCATTTCATAGTACAGGTTCAGCAGTTTGAGCACTCCATCTGTCTGAATCTACAGATGACAAGTATCCTGGAGTTCCAATCTATTTGCGTGGTAAAGGGATGGTTACTTATCCCTTGCGTTTGTAAACATCTTCAACAATTCACTATTTCACACAGGCTGTCCGCTCCAACGCGATTTATGCCCAGTCAACAAAGACGCTAATGCTAACGGTTGGAATAGTCTTATCTATAATAACTATGGGCGAGAGTGAACTACATAGCTGGAGAAAATCTGTAGGCAGACGCCGTTTTGAGCACGGAAGTACACCTTCCAACTGAAAAAGAAAAGAGAGCACATGGAAAAGATCAATCCCAAGCATCTCCCCAATCATCCCCACTCGCATCGTCTTTCGGTTTTGTATCGATCGTTTTAGCCGGTTGGGATGTTCCGCCCTTGACAGACAAGTTCTTGCTGCTCGAGATGTTTGGTTTCGATGTGCTTGTTAGCCGCGTGGCACTGGCAGCCTTTGTCGCGGTCGACTTCGAAAGTCCTTTAGGTAAGGGGTTTTTAGATTTTGCTTTGGATTGGGCGGCTAACCAACCGGCAAAATCGGGTTCTCCACCGTCATCAAATGCAGTGTGCGGAGAAGTTTCTAGACCACTAGGAGAATGTAATCTTTTAGCATCAAAAGGATCGTCCGCTCCATCATCTTCATTGGCCTCATCATCCATAGCTCCCCATGCGTCAAACGCGTCCTCTTCTTCGTCGTCTTCTTTGGGTTCAGGTTCCAATTTACTACCTAGGGGTGGAGGTGCTGATGGGGCTCGGGGAATATGTTGTGCACCGGGTCGCAAGATTTCTTTTGATTTGTCGAGTTGGGCAGATGGTGACGAGATCGCTGGACGCGGCGCTGAGGAAGATCGGAGTGTAGGTACAGCAATGGACTGATTGCCATTGGATGTTGGTTCAATTTCACCTTTCGCACTAGTTATTTTATTTGTAAATGATGAAATTGCCCATCCTGCCCAGGATGTGTCATTTTGCGTCCCCATTCGGGCAGCACCTGCGGCAGGGGCATCAGAGTGATTCTGGGCTGGCAACGCTGTATCAGGTAGCGATGCGCTGAATTTGCGAATTCGTTGCAGGTATAAATCAAGCGTTTTGTTCGCCTGATCACGAACGAGCCTTTTCATTAGTTAGTGAAAATTAATTTCTACCCTAGTGCTTGGAATGGCAATACTAACTTTTCCTTGTCTAATAAAGAAGGACATATTGCTGGCAGCAATTTCGTTGCACAGTCCTCCTCAGTAAATAGGTCTAGAGTTGCACCTAGAGCAAGCAAGCCTGCGTTTCGGGCATGGACGAACGGATCCCTCAGGGATCGACTAAATGCAGCTGTGAGGACTTTGGCTCTTGACTTTATAAGCAGTTTCGGTATTAGCAATCAAAATTGTAGTCAACCAAAATAAAAGAAGGAACTGACACTTTGTCCCAGGTTCCTTGCAACTCTACCAAGACATATGGTCGTGTTTGTTCGGATTCCAGGTTGCTCATCGTTGGCAGTTTTGGCGAGGTATCGCAACAGTTCGCCGTTAATGGTGCGGTCAGAGAGTTTCCCGATGACAGTGAGCACTGCTTTTACAGTCTCCTCTCTTACAACCGGAGCGACATCGGTAAAACCAGTCACCTGAAAGCATCTGTTAATATATAAAAAGCAAAGACTATCAAATCGTTCCCATGGTATAAAACATACCATTTGGGGAAATATTTTGTCGTTAACAATCTTCTGTGGGAGACGGTCGATCATCAGAGGGAGACTATCGAGCAAGCAGACACGTATAGCACGGTCAGGGTTGCCGAATAATCGTACAATAACCGGCGTGAGTTTACTCGAATACTCTTCCTCTGAGAGCTTCGTGCCGATCTTCAATATGGAAGCTAAAACTTTCGGACCCCCACCACCAAACACGACTGAGTTCAGCAGCTCGGGCAAAACTTTCATCTTAAAGAAATCTTCGGGAAAATCATCTGCTAGCTCATCGAGTTCACTAAAATAGCGGGATTAGACGAATGGTCACAGAGGCTCTTAAAAATAGATATAGAAGTACTTAATAAATTGATCCCTCTCCTCTTCGCTTTTCAATCCTAGACTTTCAATATCCTGTGTGAGCCTTATCAGCGGGGTTTCAAAGAAGCCACCACTGCGCATTCCTTGTTCCAGGAAATTGGACACACTCAGCCTTAATTTTGGATTGGGATTCATAAGTCTCTTGTAACTTTGATGCATGCTCGGCGGGACATTCGAAGTCTGGCCTGCCTGCTCGTTTCCTCTATAGCTGCCGTTAAAAACTTCGAAAATAAGGCTCCCGAAATTGTAAGAGTCCGTCGCAGGTAATGGGTTGCGTTTGATAATTTCCCAGCCGCCTTTTGCGATCTCCGGTGGTGCGTAACGTGAGGAATCTGGTAAAAGACTACCATATGTCTGCTGCAATGTTAACCACCAATTCTCACGAGTTAGGCGGAGAGAGGGAAACGAACGTATATTACAGCATCGTCCTCCTTCATAGAGCTAAGTAGATCAAATCCGCCAAGTTTCCATTCCCCACTTTCACTTGTGTATATAGAGGAGACCCGGACCGCGCCATGAACCGACGAAGCATCTTCATTGATAAACTTAAGCGTTGACTGCAAAAGAATTAACGAAAAAAGACTTTGAGTAAATGAGTAACTTCATTATGTATGAGCCTCACAGCAATTGCAAATAAGCCCCATTTTGCGGTCTCCTCGCTCAGACTCCTCCTTTTTACCGGCCAGGAAAGGGGATTGATCCTTTCGGTCACGATATAAATATTCGCGTCTGTCTACGGCTTCCCGTTAACTTTTCTTGTTTCTGTGGTGAAAATAGAAGAATGACACAGCAATGTCACGCGAAACAAGCAAGAGTATCCCCACCTCTATCGTTTCCAACACTTTAATCACGCCGGGGTGCCTGAGGGTACGGTGTTTGCGAATTGCATTTTTCGCGAGGGGCAGGCGGGATTTGTTTGCTGCAATATCAAAGGTAAATATACTGCACGAAGAGCCATCTTCCTAAATTATCCAAAAGATGATAGGATTAGCTCCAGAGAGTCAGTTTGGCGTGGAAGTTCCGAACCCCATACCCGTTTTGTCCCGTTGTGAAGAGTCCAGATGGACTCGTTATCATCAACTCGGTCGCCGAAACTGTACGGAAACGAGCTACCCTTGGCAATAGCTGAAGCAACAGCTGACTTTAGAAAATCCATGTCCAGGAAAATAAAGAAGAGGTGATAAATTCCGCCACAAGTAGCTAAAGGAGGCCACCGGGATTGTTTTTCTTTTCCCTTTTTGCGCGAAAAATACGAACTTGGTGGTCACATAAACATTTGCATGCGTCGTATATCATTATCACAAAGTCGATGAACTCCGACAAAAGAAATGAAAAAGGGCATTAGGTATCTGTACTGGTTGGAAGTAAAATAATATCTTCATGAGGGTTGCATGGTCGCGGCTCTGTCATTATGTCCCAATTGAGCTTAGCGTTATTATTGGCGCTTCCATTGTCATTTTGACGCCGCGATTTCCTCCCAGATACTGAAGCTTTGACAATCACTATCTCCTGCTCGAGAATCAATATTGGCAGGATGAATCCTACTCTTTTGAATTAACTGCCTCTTATAATGTTTCTCCATCACCTCCTTTAAACTTATAAACTAGGCATCTCAGCTTCTACAAACAGGTCAGTTCCCGACCCATCTCGATGGCTGTGTTTCCCTCTCCCCCAACCCCAAGTTGAGAAGAATCTACACACCTACTTTCCCACTTTCATCCCTCATAATCTCCTATGATGCGAGACTGGTAAAAGGTCAGACTCCCAAAAGAACGCCAGGCAAGAGCTTTGGTACATGCACAGAGAGATGCGGTACTCGCACCCATGGGACAAGACAAAATGGACATATCGACACGACAGACTACTTCAATGTTTGCGAGGTAGAATCCTTTTTCTTCTTCGCCTTGATTCTATCTGTCTCTCTTCTGTGACTGATAAGTCAGATATATCATGAATTTTTTTTTTCAATTTTTTTTTTAAAAAAAGTACGAAGTTATTGAATGCCCATCGCCCAACTGGCGGCGAATATCCTGGTCCTCTCACAGCCCTCCTACCTCTCAACCATTTTCTTTCCTTTACTCGTCTCTATTTCCCTTCGCTATCTCCTCGCTTTGGGGAGGGATTGTCGCAGGCACACTATCGGCAAGAGGGATCTGATTTCTGTCCCCTAAAGTACTGGGACAGTCATGAACTTATCATGGAAGATCTCTTGGAGAAAAGCAATATACCAGTGTGTTCAACAACCACTTGCCGCCACTTAACTGGAGTTCCTGTCTGCTTTGCTTCATGAGGACGCGAGGAGCTAATGGCAGTGGCGGACAATGCAAAAATTTTTAACATTCCTGTGCGCGAACCAGAAATAGAGAGGAGACAGGAGAGGGATTGGCTTGGGAGTGAGAGGGAAACGAGAATTTACCGAAGTTCGTCTCTCCTCCTAAGTAGGGCATTGTGGAGTTTTTGACTTCTTAGTGGGAAAAAAATCTTTATATCTGTTTTGGTCCCCCCAGTTATGGATCGAGAGTCATTTCTCCCGCGAACGGAGTTGCTTGTTGTGCGTCCCTTTTGCCTTGCCTCGTAGTGGGCTCTCCTGCTGAGAACCGCTTTTTCTGCTGCATTGTAACTCTTCGCTTGCGCGTATGAATGATGACCAAAATGAAAACTGAAAAGACCTGAGGA